AATACTTAATTAGAATATATTTAAAACTTACTAAAATTATAATAAATATTCTATATTTTATTAGAGTTAGAATATAGCTTCTTTAGATAAGAATATAGCTTTAAGAACTAATAGTATTAATTCGGGCTATTTTTATTTATATAAAAATTAATTAGAATAAAAATATTACTTATAAGTTTACTAGAAATATAAATAATTTTAAGGTTTTTTAAGAAATATAAATTAGTATTTCTTTATAGCTCATTTTTAACATAAACTAGCTAGTTATTAAAGATAATATAATCTCTAATAAAGAAATTTAGATTTAGAAATTTAGTAATTCTAGTATTTTTTAAAAAAAGTATAAGATATAAGAAATCCTAAATAGAAATAAATAGAAAATAGTTCGGAATTCTTTTAAAATAGATTTAAAATAGCCAGAACTATAGAAATAGTAAAAGTAAATAAAATAGTAATAGCTAGAGCTATTATAAACTAATTTACTATAATTATATAATATTTAATATTATTTTCGAATTTAATATTATAAAACTTAATATTCTTAAAAAGGCCTTTAGTATTTTTATAACTTGTTTTATATAAAATAGTTTTTTTAAAAAATTTCTAGTAATTAGTAATAATTAAATTAATATCTAAAAATAAATAATTAGTTTTCTTAATATAAGACACGTAATAGTAGAGTAATATATAAATAGTTAAGGCAAGTAAACTATAGAATAATACTTATAAATATAACTAATTCCAAGAATTAATTCTAATAAAAGACTAATTAATATCTTTTTCTAAAGCTAAAAGCATTTCCCTATATATTCTCTAGTATTTAGCCAAGCCTATAAAGTACTTTACTTAACTAGGAAATATAATTCTATATAATTTATATAATTTCAATTATTTATATAATTTCAATTATTTATATAATTTCAATTATTTATATAATTTCAATTATTTATATAATTTCAAATTTATATAATTTCAATTATTTATATAATTTCAATTATTTATATAATTTCAATTATTTATATAATTTCAATTATTTATATAATTTCAATTATAAGCTTTATTTAAAATAGGAAACTAGATTTATAATATTTAATACCTATTTATATACTATTATATATATCTATTATATTTAGTCTATTTATATAATTCTTTAATAATAATAAGCTATTAAATATATAAGAGCTTTTTAATAAAAAAGAAGCCTTTTTCTTTATAAATTTATTTAAAAAATCTCTAGAAATATTAATAGAATATTTAATTTAAAAAGAGCTATTAATAGAATAATCTAAACTAATAAAAGCCTTAAAAGAAATTAATATTATTCCGAATTATATAATATTCTAGGAAATTAATTTATTATATTTTTTCTAATAATCTTATTACTAATATATATATAAGACCTATAAAATTATAGAATAGAACTTAAAAATAGTAATTAAATTACTAATTTATAGATATCTATTATTCTAGAACTCAATTAAAAAATAGCTTTTATTTAAAAAAATTTAGTTTTCGGGTTTTCGGGAAATTTTCTAATATATTACTATATATATTTATAAAAATATAAATACCTGATTTCTTTAAGGATTCTAAAGCTTTTTGCTTTTATTATTCTAGAATCTATTACTTATATTTCTAAGATTCTATTATTTTAATAGTACCTATATTTCTAATAATTCTAAATTAGTTTATTTAAAATTCTTTATAGAATTAAAAGAAATAAGTTTTAAATACTATTATAAATATAATATTTAAGGCTTAAAAAGTAAGATAAAAGATCTCTTATAAAAATAATTCAAAGCTAAAAAAGAGAAAACTAGAATATAAAAAGCTATAAGGAAATATATATATTTTATAATATATTAGTTTTAAAAAAGCTAGCTTTCTAAATATTTCTAGTATATTTCAAATATATTTCTCTAGTAAAGCAGCCATATTATATGCATTTAGAAGGCATTTAATATCTAATTAGATATCTTAGATATTAGATATCTGGAAATTATAATAAGTATTTCTTTTTCTTATATAAATTTATTATATAATCTCTTTATCTACTACTTTTTCTAAGGCCTTTTAATACTTTAATTTATATATATATTATATATAAGTAGCCTTAAAGTACTTTTTCTAATAATATAAATACGGGATATTAGAAATAAATACTTTTTTTCTTTTAAATTTACTTATAATTACTATATTTTTACTTTTATAAAATATTCTAGAAGCTTATAATAAAGCTTTATTCTAAATTACAAGTATATAAATAAATATTTATATCTTTTTATATATAATTAATATAACTTATATTTATTTATATAAGCTATTTTAATTAACTAGTAAAATAAAAGTTACTAATTTCTTAAAATAAATTTATAATTCTTATATATTTCCCTAAATTAATTTATAAGATTTATTTCTTTTATATATTAATTATAATTATTAATAAAGTTAGAAATCTAAAGCTTCTTTATTAGTAAATTACTAAAAACCTTTTATATAATTTGCTTATTTATAAACGTTTTTATAGAATGCTTTCTTTTTTTAATTTATTATTTCTTTATTTTATTTATAGTATAAATATTACTTAAAGCTAAGATAATACTATTATCTTACTAAGCTAAATAAAGTATATTCTGAACTATTATTATAAACAAGATATTTTATTTTAGTTTTATAACAAACCGATTTTTAATTATTAATAATTCCGGTAAAAATGGCTTATATAAGCGAGTAATATTTACTATATTAAATTTATAGACTTATAGCTCTAAAAATAAGGGTATAGAAATAAAGTAATTATTAAAGTATATAATAAAGTAATAGTATAAAAGGAAAAGTACTAGATTTCATATAAAAGAACCGGTATTTATAAGAATTAAATAGAGAGTTATTTTTTAAAGCCCCTTTTTTTATAAGCTCTAAATCTAATTATATATATATTTGTAATTCGTAAGTTTATAGATTTTATACTTATATTTAATTAGCTTTTTAGGTATTTTATATATATATAAGAATCTAAAATAATTAGCGGAATAATAGAATAAAAAAGAGGGAAATATATCTACTAAAGTACTATATTATAAGTTTATTAATATTTATATTAGAAGAAGGAAAGTAATATTACTAAGAAAAAGCTTATATTACTAAAGCTTATTATTTGAATAGTAATGCCTCTTTTATTTATTACTTTTAGAGCAAGAGATATAGTAATATTATTTAATTTACTAAAAGTAGTAAAGGGATATATGGCTTGAAATCGTATATATAGAACCTTTATTAAAGTTTGTATTCTAGTATATATTGCTTTAAGGCTTAATATAGACTCTTATATATATAATTATACCAAGAAATACATATAGCTCTTTAATAAGCAAATCTGACTATTCTCGTATCCGTTCCTCTGCATTATATAGTCTCTGCAAGCTTGTATATTAATTGGTATTTGTAGTAATTATCTGGAAAATCTCGGGAGTAAAGAACAGGCTAAAGTAATCGAACGGGTGTGGTTTTCGTACAAAATCGGGAGGTAAAATCGCTCTTGCTGGCTGTTTGGGTTCGGGTTGGAAGGGCTCATAGGAAACGTTTGTAATTGGTCCAAGTCAAAGGGGTATATCCTTAAGGGATTAGCCCTTTTTTAGCTTTTCTGGTTCTGGGGGTGGGCTGGAAGAATGGTCCATTGCTGGCTGGCTGGCTATATGAGTGCGTATTGGAGAGGCATTATTGGATGCGATTTCATCTACGCAATATACCTTACTAATAAATTTATATGCAAAGGTATACGGAGTAATATTATGCTAGGTGAGCCGTGCGGGACCCCCTGGTTTAGTCTGGGCGGGCCCCCTTGCTAGCGTGGACTCTGTCTCGCCAGACGAAGGGCCGGGGGAAGCTTGGCTAAACCTGGGTTAAACAAGGGCCTCCCATGTCGACCAGATTTGTTCGGATATTACGATGTACAGAGCTGCTTCGGCCAAATTCACTAGTTGGTACCCCCCTGAGCAGGCGCCCCCTAATTGGTGGCGCACTTGACTTTTAGTATCGGCAAAACTCAAAACTTATGCTCCTGCCCAGCACCATCTTACTATGGACTAGGCCAGCAGAAATGCCGGGATAGTATAATATATTAAGGGATATAAATGTAGCGAGCCTTGGAGACCAGAGTGGTTTTGGCCACACATTACTTGAACCTTTATTTATTTCCAGTGCTGTTTTTACTCTTTATTAATCAATAATAGATCCTGTTTACTATATCCCTGGCTTCAAATGTGCTATAACAATTACATGCAGTGATCGATTATGAATTCAGACCTTATATCATTATATTGGCTTTACCATTAATCGAATCCTCCTTTAATTGCGTCAATTTTCGCGTCGGTAGGTCGAACCGCCTTTTAGTACCAACCTCATACAAAATATTAAAGCAGCATTGGAAATAAATTTTTCGTAAAAAGTGAAACAGCCAGATTGCGACGCTTGATGGCTCATGTACAGCTATTACCCTAGTAAAATTATACCTTGAAGTAACCTCGTATTAGTGAGACAGATACTGCTTTAATGCTCTGCTAGGCTGGCACAGATCAGTTAATCACATTCTATATCAAATTCTAGAGAGCTTTCCAGAATTGAAAAGTCAAACGGCGTGAAACGCATAAAAAACCCTAGACCGAGAATACATCTTTTTTTAGGGTAATAGCTGTATGTTAGATCCTTTACTTATTGGTTACTCAGCAGCACTAGGGCTTTGGCTTTTGTATTTAACATACGAGAGAATATTCTTCTCTCTTTAGTTATTTCTTCTTGTTCTTTAATATACCTGATTATCAATTAACTCAATTCCTTCAGCCCGTGACAGCTACATCTAATTAGTCTATCCAAAAAAAAATAAAGAGTACATAATCGAGATATTTCTGACAGTGTTCGACCGATCAGAATAAAACGGGTAAAAGCTGCGACTTATTGTCGGCGTCATTCCCTCACTCCGGTCTCATTTCGCAAGAAGAGCAATGGAGTTGGCCAGGCCCGCGACACCTGGTGGGATCATCGTTACCAGCCACAAGAGTATTCCGACCAACCTTAGGAAGAGAAACTTTTCTCTTTCTTCTCGGGGCCTGCGGAAGGCTATTGAGCATCTTCCTTCTCTTAACAAGCGACGGCTACGACTCGAAAAATATGTATTCTTGTCTATCTTTTTCTCGATAAAGTGAGTATGAAAGTCTTCTCGAAATTTACAGCCTTCATTACTTGTGTCTAACCAGGGCTTCGCAGCTTTACCCTCATCTACATGTCAATGTACATCTCTAAGTTCTATTGGATACTACTTCCGATATATTTCCTCAGGCCACTGATTGACGTCGTCGAAATTTTGACAATAGTGATCGCTTATCCTACCAGAAGAGCAAACGCACGCCAACCTAAAGCCCCAGAAACGTTGGAGAATCTCGTTTATCTGCTTCCATGTTACAATGAAACGTATACAGAGTTGATGAACTCGTTGAACTCCCTCGCCGAGCAAAAACATCTCGATACCCACAACAAGGCCATCATCATCGTTTGCGATGGGCGATGCAAGGGCAAGGGCATGACAAAGACCACAGCGGAACATCTTACGCAGGACGTCATTGAGCGTCCATCAATCACTCTTGCCCGAGAGGCTTACACGTCATGGGATGGTAGCCAAATGAATGTTGAGGTTGTTCAAGGCGAATTCAGAGGGCTGCCGGTTTTCTGCATCATCAAAGAAGAGAATCGCGGGAAAAGAGATGGCATTATTCTTGTTCGATCATTCCTGCACAAGTTCAACCTACGCAATACGAAACCATCCGCCGGCATCCTCGCACCTTGGTTCCTCGCTCAAGTTTCTGATTTCCTCATTAAAGTCTCGATGCTGTCTGTGGAATACGTCGTTGGCATGGATGCGGATACCCGATTTGACGCAGAGTGCGTCCTTAACCTCATACAAACGGCGAGAGAAGGCGAACAGGTGGTTGGAGTAAGTGGCTACGTTCTCGCAGACTTTACAACGTCCAAGCCATACTCCATTCCGTATCTTTATCAAAACGCAGAGTACGCTATCGGACAGCATCGCCGGCGCCTTCGGCAAGACCTCACTAGCAGAAAGGTCACCTGCCTTCCAGGATGTTGTCAGCTTCTTCGAGTAATTGAGAGTACTTGCGGAGATGAAATACTAGGGCAGTTTGGGTACTATCCAAAGGAAAAGGATGGCCTCTTCCGAACGATTCAATCAATGATGAGCGAGGATAGAGACCATGTCTGTCTAGTTCTTCGCGAAAACGCCGACGTCGAAATTCGTCAATGTCTCACTGCGCGGGCCTTCACCTCCGTCCCACAATCATTTCCAGTATTCCTTAGCCAGCGTCGGCGGTGGACGCTGGGGCCAATAACAAGCGACGTTCTTCTCGCAGCCAGGAAAACGACTGGATGGGTTGAAAGGTTAGCGGCAACAGCCTCAACATTAGACAGTGGCGTTACATTGTCCATGCTTCTTTCTCGGTGGTTCCGTATGTACCCCAATACTGTAAACCCTTTTTGATGCTAATTCGGAGAACTAGGAGAGGATTTTGATCCCCAAACGGGCATGATTTTCTTCGCCCTTGATACATTCCGTAACATATGGAACCTTTCAATTGTTTTCATGTCTCCGAGGTCATTGAAAGAAGCTATTCAATATTTAATCGGCGTCGTTATATGTAACGCTTTAGGTCCTTATGTGTGCATGACAGTAGTGCTCTACTCTTTGTATCACTTGGATGATTTCCGGTGGGGAAAAACCCGAATTGTTATTGAGGACGACAGCAATCGCAAGCCGCATTCATATTGTATAACAAATTCTCAGGTAGCGTAGCCAAGTATACTTTGATTAAACGAGGTTGAGTAGAAATGAAGATCAACGCCTGCCACAACTTACCAAGATTCAGAAAACTCTTGAAGAAGATGCGGTAGCCACCTAAATAGGGTGGCCGCCGCAGATAACTCTCCGCGGAAGAAGCCACCTTCTCACATTGTCACTTCCAACACGGCCTGACTTACCGTTTGATGAGTGGCGGCACAGCTGAAACTATTGCAACCATCCTCAGGGATATCTTCCCTTTTGAGTGGATTATTTGTCATCCTCAGCGGGGAGGCGAGCTGATCGCCAGCATAATCCTCTGCCTCAATTTGCCTGTCACGGGTACGGCATTCAGGGCTTGGAAAGCAAGGTAGAAGGTCTCTTATAAAGACGATTCAAAGCTAAAGAAGGGAAAGCTAGAGTACAAGAGGTTGTAAGGATATAAGTGCACCCTATAATACGCAAGTTTATATAGGGCTTAGCGTTCTAAATTCCTCAGGTGTATTTTATATAAATTCTCTTAATAATGCAATTATATTATATATATCTATTAAGTAATTACCCGAAGATAATAAAATATAAAAATAATAAGTAACGGGAAATAAAGGTAATAAGTAATACTAGTTTAATTAGATAATTAGATTAAGAATAGAATTATAATATTACTTCTTTTTTTTAAAATAAGCTTATTTCTAAATTTAGAAAAAGCTTTTATTTCCTTTCTTTTTCTAATAACTCCACATACTCGCCACCTCTTTAGCCCCAGGAGCTTTCTCTATCCTGACGACTGTCCAATATCTCAACTTGGCACAAGCCATCGCCCACAGGAAATTCCAAATTCCGACGTTCCAGCTCAGAATCTCGTCAACTCTTCCAATTTCAACGCAACTCGAACTCCTCCAGCTTCAGCTCCCCCCTTTCCAGCATCTTGATCGCCTCACCGTACATGTATCCGTCGACGTATGCTTCGCCTAGGTTGATGTAGTGATCTTCGAATTTTCGTAGGATCACTGAGTGACAGCATCCGAGTGGGATGCATATGAGATCACCCTCAATGACCTCTTCCAAAGCAAGTCCCATAGCCTTTGAGGAGCTAATGAAGAAACGACGATCCCAGACCCGACGCAAGATAACAGTCCACCAAGACCGCATGAATACCCTAGCTTCCGCCTCTACAAAGCTCTCTTGCATTACCGGGTAGTCTTTCTTTTCCAATACTAAGAACGATTTCCAGTAGCTAAGGAGAATTGACATCTTAGCTTCGATTAGCTTCGAGTCCGAGAAAACTAAACCAAGATATCCCAATATACCGAGGAGAAATTCGGACTTAGTTCTCATTCCAAGGTGCTCTTTCTTAGCCCCGTCAAAAACCAAAACTCGAACAAAGGCTTCAAGTCCTGCACTTGATGTTTTGACCACTCTGGTAACAAGCTCCCATAGGTTTATAAGTGCTAGGGCGCCATTCCATTTGTCAAAGTTATTTTTCATCCCGCTCTTTAGGCCAAGAAGTTCAATAGAGCCAATATTAACTCCTTTAAATGCTATCCTATCCGCACTAAAATGGACGACTGCCCTTGTTTGACCCGCAGAAGAAAAGCGAAACTGTGGCTGGCTTATATTATATAGGAAGATGTGACTCCCAATCCGGCTCCCAATCCGGGCAGCATTTGACCAATCTGGGACCCACGACGGCAACTCGTGCACGTTTGTGCCAGGAAGAACTCGAGTAATAATGTTTAGCTTCTTCGAGGTCTCGATTTCCAGTTTGGCGAAATTTGTGAACACATCTCTTGTTGATAGTTTATAGTCTACCTCGACTTTATATTTACTTGTCTGATTTGCTAGTGCTGCTAGCCCGTAGATCATATCTCTCGGATCCGAAGATTCTCTATTATAGTGATGCAGTAAACAAGTATAGAAGTTTGGTTTAGCGGATACTAGATCCTGCTTCCAGTAATAGATAGATTGTATCCCGTTGTGAAGAAGCTGAGATCTGTCGTTCGAGTTCCTTTGTAAAACATCCAGCAATATATCTTTGGGAAACCCTTCGAGTTTTGACATTTGCTGAAAGAGTTGCTGAATAGCATATAAAGACTCTGCTTCGATGGAACTTTCGCCACAATAGAAGACGATTCTCCTCGCAACGGTGAGCTCCTGCACAATCCAGATTCTCCACCAATAATCGCGTCTGAATAAATCCGCAAGACTCTCCAGCTTCTGTTTCATGTCTGGCTTTGAGAACCGTTCCGTAATCCATTCTGTTGATTCGCGGTGATTATAGAGCTCATATATTAGCTGGATTGCCAGATCACTCTCCTCGTTGGTTAAACCAAGCCAGACGACTACCTCAGTGGCCTGCTCGTAAACCATCTTCATGTTGGCAACCTGGTGGTTCCTCTCTATATCACTGGTCTGGTTAATACAGATGGCGTCGATCCATATCACTAGCTCAACGTTGTCGGATTGGAAACGCCTTAAAGCATTCGAAAGGTTCTCCCTCACTACGAATTGATAACCATTGAGGTATATGGTGTGATTTGGGTCGGACTCACTCCCCCATGTGTAGGAGAGTGCTTTGTAAGAAGGACGATCGTCTAGATTGGCGTGAAATAGCTCAAAAGTGGCTCCTCTCACTTCCTCTCCGCGACGCTTTCTCGAGTTTGGCTGTGGTGGGGGAAGAATGCGAAGGAGGCGTATCTGATTCTCATTCTGATCGAGGTCCTCGTAAGTAAAGGCAGGAACTTCAACTTCGGCCGACGTCTGATTCCCCCTATGAGTGGCTGTCTGTTGCAGATCTTTCTCTTGAGAAGGTGGCGTGTCTACACTTCCCGCGTTGTCGGTCCTCAGGTTTCGTTTCGAGCCTCGCACAAGTTTCGGTTTTCTGTCCATAGTGAGATATCGAATTCAAAATACGTGAAATTTAGAATTCAACGGAAAGGCTGTGAGTCTGAAGATGTCAGACTAGAATCCCGAATTTAAGAAGATGCGTTGGCATCTGTCTTACACCTTCCCAGCCGGCATGCATAGAGCCTTACTCCGCCTCCGCCACCAACAACCCGACCCCCAGCATCTTGAACCAAAACCGTCCTATCATGCAGCTCACCCAAGCCGCCGGACTGCAAACTCCAACAACCTCATCGTAAGAAGCCACCGAATCAGGCGAATCTCCAACTCCTCAAATCCCCTGAGCGAAGCCTGTCCCTCATCCCACCTCGTCCCTGTCTCCCTCCCACCTCCTGCCACGTTCTCTTCCAGCTCTCCTCATCATGCAGCCAAACCTTATGTTCCTCCACAACCTCTGCCTTCACACACCCGGCATGAAAGCCCACGACCATAGGTCACGGTTTAGTCAGCGCGATAATGGAGCGCAAGGCTACGAGTTGAGTCGCCAAGTCCCATTAGTGCAGGATTTTGGAAGCCCAGACTATGTCTACTGAGGAGTTTAGGGCTGTGAATGAGGGAGATGGGTGCAAGATGTCAGTTTCGATGAATTTTGCGCGGAAGCGTTCGCGGCCATTGAACACTGTGTAGCCTACGTCCCAATGGGAGGCTATATCGACTGCGTAGAGGTCTTCTGAGGGTACTCCTTCAAATACCCGACTTAAATGAGCAAAAGCAAAAGAACACTCTCCAACCTCCTTAAGTCATGCCCAATAAAACACTCAATCTCAGCAGTCTCTTCCCCCTTCGTCAACCTCTTCACCATCTCCCCATAAACGGGACTCCTACAATCAACAGGCTCAGAAACTGTCCCTGCTCCGTACAACGATAAGCACGCATAGTCCATGTTTTATCTCTCTTATTCTCTCATTACCACGGCCCTCTAGGCTCAGTTTCATGATAAACGGACTGAGGATAAATACAACTTCATAAACATGCTGCAATTCCTCATCAGGTATTGTCGATCAATTTTCTCTCTTTTCTGTTTCCCATGCAGTTAGTAAGCTTGCCGCTCTTGCTCAGGCGCTAATCACCCTCGGCTCACCCTCGGCTCAGTCAACTCACCTGAGCTGCATGAGCAACCTGAGCAACTCACCCGAGCAACTTGAGTAGCCTGAGCACCCTGAGCACCCTGAGCAACTCACCTAAGCGCCCTGAGCATCCTGAGCAAAATCTATCACATCGTCACGTGTTTTGAGTTCTCGCTTTTCAGCCAATCACACTTAGTCTAACGTCCGTTCTCTCATATCAGTTTTGACAAGTTTTAACAACGATGCTAAAGGAGCCCAAACGAGTTCTTAAGGAACCCAAAGTGGACACTTTCCAAAAACATACTTAGCGCTTTATAATCTAGTAGATAACGTGCTACCTCAATGTTTTCTTTTACTATTGCAATATGCAATAGTGCTTATCGCGTATCGTTTTAGGCATTTACATTAGCTCCTCGTTCCATAAGTATCTTGACCACCTCGAGCACATGTGTGCTAGGATTGGTAAGAGCTAGGTGTAGTGGCATGAAATTTGTCTTTGTTTGTTGATCGACTTTTGCACCATCTTGGAGAAGAGTGGCCGCAGCTCTGGGCGAGCCGTCCACGCTGCACAATGTAATACCGTCTGGGGGCTACTACATCGAGAAGCAAATCTCATGAGAACTCCAGCTTGATCTACCTCTACCAACAGATCGATGGGAACTCCCTGAGTCTACAAGTTGAAATCTCGTCCAGCTGATTCGACCCATCCTCTGGTATCGCGTTTGCAAATCTTCTCGCTGCTTTATTGTTTCCAACAAGTTGCCCAGAATCGCAAAAAATTCCTGCCTTCTAGTGCCCTCATTAGGGTTTAGCGAGGAATTTTCCTGCTGAGCCTGGTCGGCGAGGTCTGCGATCACTCGCCGGGCGCATTCTTTGAATGATCGGTAGAGCGAGATCGTGAGTCTCGACAACGTCACGAAATCGCCCACACTGAATCCAAATGACAACTTGTTTTCTTTAAGTATCAAATATGATAAATCTTGCGAAAATCCGTCGTGAGATGAAAGAAATGAGAAGCACTTCATTTCGCGTTGCGACGGTGAGGCTATCGAACCGCCAGTGCAAAAAGCATCGTCTCAGCCCCGAAATCTGACCATTCACAGCTCTCGAAAACTTGCTATCCGCTGCAACCTGCAGCGAGGCGCTCTCGAAGGCAGACAGCTGCTTACGTTATCTATTTTCTTGAGGTTATTGCGTTCGACTTTCCAACTGTCGGCATTGAATATGAATAACAGATGCTTTGCTTTTGAGAGACAAGGAGCTGTTCTAGGATCATAGTAAGACGTTGCTGATTGGCTGGCAGTCTGTCGCCGCGGGGAAAGTTCTCCCGAGAAGGACGAGACACGGTAGGACCAAGATAGTTGCAAGGCTTGAAATGCCCCTTAGCTGTGCCCGCAGTGATGGCCCTAACTTAGTGGGTCAAAGCTAGATGGCGAACGTCTTATCCTCTAATGAGACGAGTCGGCCTAGTAGATACTTGCGGGAGCATATCTGAAAAAGCCCTTTCAGGCACGCTTACGCGATGAGAAGCTCTAAATTGGCTCGATATTGTATATAATTTCTAGTTAATGAAATCTCTACTATGAATCAGGATTATATTCTAAAGCTTCTGAAAGTTAATCAGACGTCTGCTGTCCACTTCTCCCTATTGTAAAGCACTATCTATGAAGGCGGCCAGAAATCCACATATCACATAGGAGCTGATGTACATGATTCTCGAAAATCACCCCAAATATTAATACAACTATTATGATCAGGAACCCGTCACTTATAATCAAGCCTAAATGCGTAGTTCCCAAGTATGTTTGGGGCCGTGCTGAAATCTTTTATGCGTCCCAATCGTAGGTATCTTCGTTTGCTCAAAACCCAGGGCTTCCAAATAATTATGCACCGCCATTAAACCATCCGCAAGCAGTTTGGACTAGACTGTTTGAATACGAGAAGTTAGTAGAGATCGGCATTAATGCCCTCCATCTCCGGTTCGGATGCAACGCTGGACTTGATCTGTCTTTGAGTACTTAATAGCGTCTCGACAATTAGTATAAAGATGCTAGTCGAAATAACTATCAAGATCTTCTAAGCTTTTCTAAAACTATATATTACTAAGGTAAAGCCTTTGTATAGGATAGCGGGGACATTATAAATATAATTAATTTAAAGATATTTTCGACGCTATTCACGTGATACCGTTGTGTAACCTGCCGCTGCGACCTTGATATCGTCTCTGGCGATTATCTCTCTCTATAAGTTACACCCTTCGACTTGAGACCACTAAACATACAAGTTTATGCCTTAGGCGATCCTAAGCATAAACAAATACACAATCAATTTATTGGCTTCTATCGCGCGGCGTAGCTTCACGTTTCGCACGCTGCGCTTACGCGTCCTTTCTCACGACAATGGACCATATCCAAAAGATCGGCACGCCATACCGACAAGAAGGATATCCCATTGTACCGCTTCTTTGCGACTTACGATCTTGTCCTACGACGCCTCTAGGTCCTGAGCAATTCAGCATGTTTTCGAAGAACTTCGGCAACAAGGGAAACGAGATATCACGCGGTGACTTGGAGGATCTTGGACCGAATGGCGCAATTGCCAAACTTCAGCAGTGGCTTTACTTTGGCGTAATGGTTGAAACCTTTGCTAGTGTAGCTATTCCCTTTCACAAAGAAGACTTTGTCACCAAGGCTGCCGATGGAAAAGCGATCATCACGACGGAAGAACTGCCTAGATATCTTTGGTATCTCCTGGCCAACCTTCATCACTCTGACAGACATTTCAAACATCGTCATAGACTTTCAATGATCTCGATATTAAATCTCACCAACACCATACTATCGAGGGTGGTCACTCTATTGCGTGGTTGGCCCGTATCTCCTGCTGGCAAGGTGTTGCTCTCTATCAGCGTCTTGGGGGAAACTATAAGTAACGCATACGATCAGATGACGGGGCGTGAAAAAAGCTTTTCTACTATGATTTGGGTGTTTCCCCCTCTCAAAGACGCGTTGTTGAGGGCTGGCTGGTGCATCCGAGAGATTGAGCAACTCCTCCGGACAACCAATTCACTGTGCCTTCTATACCTGAGCACGATCGATCGCCAAGCGTTGCAGAAAGACCACAGCAAATGTGACCAGTTCAAACGCTGCCAGGCCTACCAAGTAGTGCATCACAAGTACAAGACCAAACACGCATCTCATTGTGCTGATGAGAGTACCTGTGAGAGTGTTGGTCCTGCTGTGGACGAACTTACTGGAATTATCAAGGAAGGTCGCATTCCATTGGTCGGCTTTGATTATCTGGCTACGCCACCAGTCTTACATGTCTTACGATTTGAAGAGGAAAGTGAGTTCTATAATGAGTATGTTGCCATTTCACATGTGTGGTCGGATGGAATGGGAAATCCTCTCTGCAATACTCTTCCCATCTGCCAGCTCAGACGCATCCAGGAACTCGTCAATCATTTATACATTAACGAGCCGACATTTCCAGAGAAATTTCTGGTTCCATTCTGGATTGACACGTTGTGTGTCCCGTTGGACCCACTGGTCAAACCATTGGCTCTTAACCTGATGGCCAATACATACAAATTTGCAGATAAAACTCTGGTCCTGGATCAATCCCTGCAATCTGTTGGGAAAGCCGCATCTCTGGAAGAGTGTTGGACGCGTATAAAGCTTGCGCCTTGGATGACCAGGCTATGGACTTTCCAAGAAGGAAGACTAAGCAAGGATTTGCATTTTCAATTCCTGGACAAGACAGTTAGAATTCCAGCATGGAATGCTCTGCCTGCTCTCAGACCAAATCCAATTGCGGTTTCTGCTTTGCTTCAGCGCAGAGGCGTGAAGCGATCCCTAGCTGAGAAGTCTGGTATGCTCTTGGCACGCGCGCTTGCTTTCCCCAAGGACAGAACACTTCGTTCTATTCAAACAGAGGCCAGCGCTCCAGCAACAGACGATCCACGCCAAGAGTACATTCGATTATCTTCTATTGAGCTTCTGCGGACTAGAAAAGACGAATTTACTCTTTCAGAACTATGGATGCCGGAGATTTTGGCTGTTGACCCAGCTGTCAAGCTTTCGGAGGAGGACTCTGAATTACAACGCAATCTCTCCAGCATTGTTTTGGATCCAACCCGACCATATGGGCAGGGCGCCATGAATAGTATCCATGGTCTCAGTAGTAACGCCAGACGCGATGAGTGGATGACTTTCTTTGGGAATACAAAACCCAGCCCGTATTGGATCTTCAACGATGTTATGTGGACTATCTATGGTAGGACGACAAGTCGCCTGGAAGATGAAACAATTTGTTTAAGTGTTTTCATGGGACTTGACGTTTCGAAAGTGCAAGAAGTTCCGGTGCTGCACTGGAAAGTTAAGGAGGCGTTAACATGTGTGCTGGCACACATACCGACGGATGCTACCCTACAGAAGCGTATCACATGGATGTTGAGATCATCACAGGAAGAACGAATAAAGATGTTCTTATCGCAGTTAGAATCCTTCTCTCGACAGCTCCTTTTTTGGGATACGCCGAGATTACAGTCCAGCGGCTGGCGATGGGCACCCCTTTCGTTCCTAGAACTTTCCTTGCAAAAGAAAGGTTTATTACTGGGCAAGTCTGAACAATGTGCGCGTAAGCGTGAGGGTTTGGAAGCCGAGTGTATAGCCTTCCGCATCGACAAAGCAAATTTCCCCAAAAGTCAAGCGTTGCATGAAGTTGGCCCCATTCTGAGCCTTCATAGTGCAGGCAGCTTTGGCTTTGGGTATTTTAACCCATATCATGATCAGTCAAAGTGGCAGTATATGCGACTCCGGCTAAGCAGTAGTCACTTGCAGCCTTCTGGTACCTGGAAGCAACTGATCGAAAGTGGAAATGCAGCTATTGTGACTCCAACTCATCATAGCGACAAGGAGGGTTTTGAGGTCGGCATTTTGACCGTTGCTTATAAGATGGAGCACAATGTCACTTTTGCCCGTCATGTAATGCTGGTGGATAGGGTCTTATTATCAGGTGCATCGAGTATAGAAGATGCTATAAGTGTATATGGAGAAGGGTATAAGAAGTCGAGGTGGTGCATTGGATAACTTACCTACTGGTGTGATAGCTCTCTCAAAGCGGAAGAGTATGGAAAGATAGCAAGAGAAAAGGATGACCAGCACATGAAGAAATGAACAGACTGAAAGAGAAAGTATACCGTCTGGATAGGCTGCGTGAGGACTGGCATCAAACTACCCTTTTAGAACTCATGTCACATGCTGGGTACTTCTGATTGGTCGCTCTTGACTCCACTCCATTAAATGAGGTTTACCTCTTTTGGAATAGCTTCACGTCTGTATATAAACCCTTCCATTCAAAGCATCGGACTTGTCTCAGTGATAAGAGTCCTGATAAATACACCTTCGTATTCACCGCATAGCCTTCGATTCGATAACTCAGAAGACTGCTCGGATACTTCGAAGATAAGATGCCTCTCCGCTAAAACTAAGGAGAATTGATTGTCATGCCAGAGGGCTGCATTATCGTTTTAGGTCGTGGAATATCATTTGGTCCCATACATCCCAATACTTGACCCAGATACCTCTGGCCTATAGAGGCCGAGCTGGATCGATCGCCGGGTAGGTATGATCCTTGTCGCTCGGAACAATGAGAGATATGTAGAAAGTAGATAGACCACCCGTGACAACTATCTCGAGGCATCTCGAGATATTAGAGATAAGAAATAAAGAGAAAGAAGGGCATGTGGAGTAGATGCATGTGGGTTGCTGCGATCCGCAGGTAACGGCTAATGGTGGGGCTGGAGCTGAACCACCTTGCTGTCGATATGTTAACATCGCGCCGTCAACTAGTATAGCGGCGATTTAATATAAGCGAATAGGGTCATGGTGTAGCTGGAATCTGTTTCCCTTCGAGGCCACATATTCCGTCACAGCTCAATAGAACCTGTAGCTCCATCCAGGCCCGCTAACGCTCTTCTCCCCAGTTCTGCAACACCTTTTGCAGCGGCAAGCACCGGATCATCTCCGTAAATGGGGAGACTATCATGCGTAATCCCATTAACAGCCTTCCCCAGGACTTCTCTAAACACCGGATCTTCGGAACTTTCTCCATGAACTAACACCTTGGAGATTCTGCTCGGTATAAACCTGGTTTGACTGGTTTCTGAATGGCTTCCTCAACACTTTTCCAATAGGCCTCTTTAAAAAAACGCAAAGGTAAAACACAAATTATGAGAGCCTGGGCAGTCTTCTCAAAATTGAAGTTTGAGGTAGTCGGAGGCGCAATAGTCAGACCTGCCTCGCAGGCTGGTGAGGTGCAACTAGTGTGATAAAAACCGTAGAAGGGTTCACCAGCCAACCGCCCAAACCACTCAACCGCCCAAAGGCCTATTCAGAATTAACTACCCACAATACTAAGAAACTAAGTTCAGATTCGTAATCTACGACCTTAAATTACCCTACTCTGATGTTCTTAGAATTTTTTTCATGTATTTTGGTTCGATTTTCCTTATTTCGAAGTTTATACAATTTTCGCGAATTCTCAAGATTTTTTAAAGAACTTAAACGCTAATTCAACTATAACCGCGCTTAAAACCCAAGAAAAGAAGTCCAGATTCGTGATCTACGGCCTCATTTTATCCTATTTAGAGGTTTTTGGAATATTTTTTTTTTTGGTTGGGCGGTTGAGCAGGATGGGCGGTTGAGTGGTGACCCTTCTATTATGTAACATGAACGGGCACTGACACTAGTGCCTTTTAGGCTTAGCCGTATGTAAGAGAGCTTCAACGTCATCTCAGAGATAGAAACAGCAGAATACATACACAGATGCTTTGTGAAACGCTCCCAAATTTACCAGTGACAAGACTCTCCTCTTGAGCGACCCTCTGTAACCCGATATCACGTGGAATTCGACATACACATGGATTTTTTACCATTGCCTGAAGGCTTGTCCGAACATGAGCTGGTGCCGGAGCTGCCTGGAGCTCCATATGACAATCAAGGCTTCAGTGGCTACGATGTCCGGCAGGGCTGGAACGTACAGCTCTTGCGAGAAGGAAATATCCGTGGGGCAAGAACTGAATGGAATGAGTATTCGCAAGCAAGCCTAACCGAGCATGGTGACGACGTCCACGGATTTGACGGAGAGCAACTCGTGCAATTCCTCGTAGCGCCGTTCATTCAGAACTGGATCATCTATGGTCTCTCTCAGTCGGCTCTTGGTCATCACATATCCAGGGATGATACCACTTTTACCAGAATCAACGAACGTGGAGAAATGCGCAGATATTTGACATTGAAACGCCTTTTTGGAGAATTCTCAGCAAGGAAAGAAGAGCTTGCTCAGGATGCCCAATGGCATCAAGAGTTTCCAGCTCTTTTAGAAGAAGCGTCGTGGATCCTTGCAGACCTAGATGCTCTTCATGATGAGCTTGGTGCACCGGTGATTCCAGGGCCCACGGCTGTGGTTCTCTCAGCTCTGCTGCGCACTATGCAGGATCACGCCATCATTTGGTGTTTCCCACACATAATAGACACATCCGCCCCCAGTCGCGTGAGGTGGCTTGACTACAAATTAAGAGACGAAGGCTGGTGTCCCGAGCGAATCGGGCGCCTGCGAGTTGAGCTGGGACCGGAAGGGTTATATTACGCCAGCCTCCTTGAGGTGAACAAAGACGGGAAAAATCACGACGAGTGCTCAAAATCTGCTTGCGTTGCGTACAATGTGACAAATTACGATGCATACAGGCAGAGACACGATACCCGCTATTGTGACTGCAGAGATGAGATATGCACACATGATGTGGACAGCTGCGCATGCAGAATCGCGTACGATGTAGAATCACTGACCGAGAAGATAAGGGTATCAGTAATGCAGGGGCGAATACCATTACTTATTGCATCCCATTCGGATCGAAGGACGGAATTGGAAGTGAAAGATTCTCACGAGGGCCAGGAATACATTGCAATATCCCATGTTTGGTCTGATGGCATGGGAAATCCACATCAAAACGGTCTCCGGCCGTGTCTGATCCACTTTCTCGACTTCTGTGTTCAAAAGCTGTTTGAGGCATTGAAGCCTGGAGCAGAGCCGATATTTTGGCTTGATACCATCTGCGTCCCTCTATTGCCTCGTGAAGCCAGAGATGCTGCAATAGAGAGCATGCGCCGCGTATACACAGACGCAAGCGCTGTCTTGGTCATAACTCAAGATCTCATATCGAGACCTCTACCAAGTACATTTCAAGAGACCATCGTTAGAATATGTCAGTCAAAATGGTTGAAGAGACTGTGGACAATGCAAGAAGGAGTACTAGCAAAGTCGCTTGCATTTCAGTTTGAAAATCACGCTATCGACTATGAGTTTCTCGACCACCAAGTTCACCGTGAGATCCATGCAACGACAGACAAATCTGCTTTGGTGGGCAGCAGAGCGACTCTTATGGTTTCGAATCTCATTACTATGCAGGGTATCGACAAATCACGGGAAGACTTGTTTAACTCATTTTGGTTTAACATTCGTCATCGTGCAACGTCGAGGCTTAGTGACCAAGCTGTCTGCGGCTCGATCCTCTGTGGCCTTGATCTTCGGCCCGTGTTAGCTGCCGATGACGAGGACAAGATGAGAGTCTTCTGGAAAAGTTGCCAAGATATTCCTTTCGGAGTCTTCTGGGCTAACGGTCCAAGGTTTGACCTTGACACGATGCGTTGGGCCCCAAAGTCATTCCTGCATCCGAGCACGTGGGCTGTACCTCCCCCAAAAACCGGCCTGACTGCAAAGGTATTGGATGATGGGTTGCACTTTTCTGGAGTAAACGCATTCTACCTTCAGTCAGTTGATTTGCCAAGTCTTGAAGACAGTATGATTGAATTCCAAGCTGGAGTAGATCCCACGGCCTATACCATGCTCCTGACTAAGAACGTCGACAATCCAAGCTGGAACTCTCTGCGACCTTTCTGGAAATGTGTCTGCCTCTTGTGGCATGAGCTTCCCCATTCTGGCGGATTCTCGCATGGCGTCTTGGTATCTTATTCTGGAGTGGATGAGCAAGAACTCTGCGCTGAACCTCCACACGCGCAACAAACTGTTTTACGCAGCCGTTGGCTCGCTCAAGTCAATATATTCGCCAAGGGCGGAGACTGGGATGCATTTGTCGCATCTTTTCCAACAAGATATGGGAAAGACGGCGACTTGCTTCCGAGACAGGCCGTTGATGTGATTGTGCATCCTTCAAGACCTCAAAAAATCTCGAAAGAGCGCGAGTGGTGCATCTATTAATTGAATACTGGACGTGACGCAAAACTTTCTTTGGCGTCATGGGCCTAGTTTAGAGGGAGTTAATGACGCACATTTCGGCAAAGACTAAGCTAAAGGAGAGAAGAAAGGAATCCTGCTGAAGCAAGCGGAAAGTCATAATGATATCACGATTCATGCGCCAGTTTCACGCTGTCACAACCATAAGGCACGGCTAGCGCCATTTCATTACCTCCCATTTCTTTTTTCTTAAAGATTCAGCGAGTCTATCATTATTTACAGTAGCGCTTATTAAGCCCTCCGCTCTCATTATTCATCGTGGATAAGATTGACTTACAAGTTGCTATGTCGAGTTCAAGACTAAGTACTATGTATTATTTCTTTTGCTCTCTTGATTATTTAGTCTAGAATTGCAAGACGCGAACATTCCACAAGACAGCCAATCCTATCATTTGCATAGTATATTTAGATCACCTGGCCCTAATGTCATAGCTCAGCCTACGCACCATCACTGAATATAAGGCAGTCGCTCGCTCTGAGTGAATTTCAGAAATCCCAAGGTCTTAGGAAAATTCCCCTCTAGGTCCTGAATATGCCAAGAACTGATAATAACTTGGCACTCCAAATGGCAACCTATTCTCCCATTAACCTCCTTGTCCACCTGCACAATCTGGCTAATTTTAGTTGCGTTGAGCGTTGTCTCCGCCGACCGGATCGCCACAACTTTCACCCCTCGGTAGCTTCCCACCTAAAGCTTGGATCGAGTGGAATGATATTATAAACGTGCCTCTCTTGCTTTGTGTAAATTTGTTCTTCTCTCACAGACCCAGAAGAGCGACGTAAGTCAAGAGGTACAAACGGCTCGTGCATGATTAATCCAGGCAGCTTGACCACAAGGCCCTCAGCTGTAGGTTTTCCGGCCTTTGCGAATGGCATACCCGAATCATTGCCCATGCTGAGGAACGTCGTTGGTATCAGCTATATCCTATCTCTTGGGTCCGCGAATTGTCGAGAAATAATGTGTCGGCTAGAATACGGAGATCGCGGCATAAAGTGACAGGACTACAGGTCATTTAATCTCAAAATTCCCTATAGCGTATGTTTCTAGGCGGCGCACCGGCTGTAAGGCCCTGAACTCTTAAGTACTATGTCCTCAAAGGACCCTGTGAGACATTCGCAAGGTTCTTGACAATTTATAGGGGTATTAGCTCTGTTGACTGAGCAACTATAGCGCTCGGGCCCCGATTGAGGGGCTTCTATAGGCCTCATTAGCGAGAATTCCCTTGTAAGTACAGGGGATAAGCCTGAGAGAGGTGTGGTATCCCTTGACAAAGTTTATAGCGCACTTTCAGGGCACTCCGCTGTAATTATGGGCCTTTATAGGGGTTACTCGGCACCTGGAAAGGTCGTTATAGTGACCTTTCAAGGCAAATGCCCTGTAGTCCTGTCACTTTATGCCGCGATCTCCGTATACTCCATCTCCCCCAGGAGCTTCTTCACTCTGTCAAGAGGGCATTTGTCGATGAGGCCAGCCACATCGAGTCCCAGGATTCCAGCTATGCAGATTGACTCGTCTTCAATACGACTTGTTCGCCGCCAGCGAAGAGGTCGGATTGCTTGGCTGAGTAACCGGTAATTGTCGGTGTCGTGGTGGTCAATGGTATGTGCCTCTACTATGGCAAGATATTGGAAGGCTTGACCTTTGAGATGCTGAAGGTGGACGAGTCGCTCGGGTACTCTCAAGGCTATGTTGTATTGTTCCCTCATGTCCTGATCGATGCTAGCCTCCAGATCGAAAGAAGAAAGATCCTAGCTCTTTTGACAGAACAACCATATCGCTCGGTCGAACTCTTCCTCTGTCGACGCTTGGTAAATCTCAGTGTTCTTTATAGCGTAATCCGCGAACTGGTAGGAGATCTGCATCGCCAGTGCTGCTTCGTGGAAAATTAAAAGCCGACGAACTCAGGTGGAGGACCGAATACTTGTAAGAATTTCCACCGTGTCCGCGAGCTTCGATACCTGAGATAGGACGGCATCTAAAACACGGACTTTATCTGCGGATGCGTATGTATAGGCTCTCCATATTCATCCTCTTAAAGGGTGATTAGGGGAATACTGCCCCGGCGAATAATTCCACAAACCTGGCTTAGCCATGTTTGAGTTGATGCGTCATTTTCCCAGTCTTGCGGGCATTTATAACCGGAAACATGCGAGGTACGATAAGTCGACCAGCCTATTTTTTCAGTCCAACACTGCGACGGTGTGCATTTGTTGTAATCCCTCCTTTGTCCGCGTCGATCTATAAACCCGAGGTAATAGCAAGTAGTCTGGTCCACCCTCTGGTCCTTGTGAATTTGAATTTCGCTTGGGCACCAGCCAGCCTGCAGCATGCGCTCTTCGGAAAGAGCAGAATAGCCCCAATGGGGGTTACTATCCGCGCCATAACATGTTTTGAGAGCGGTATTCAGTTGCTTCCCGAGAATAATGGCAGAGAGGTGGACTGTACGCCAAGTCCTCAAAGCATCTGGATCCAGATCTCTAGCACTAGAAAAATGTCTTGATTGCGTTTTGTTTTCCAGAAGTCCAATCTCGCCAATGACTTGACTTGCTTTTTCGAAGTATTCACTGCAGGTATGCATGGGATTCCTCCACTCTGCCCTCCCCGTTCTGCGACTTCTCCGTCCCCATAGAAGTAGATAATTGGGTATTTCTACAGTCGTGACAAGTTGTTAATGTTCATTAGTCTTGGATGATGGTTTTAGAAACTCTTGAAGGTCGATATCGATATCTGCGGTCTTGAAGAATTCAACGAGGAGGCCAAAGTAGCACCATGACTGGACGAAGGCAAGGAGTTTGTCGTTTGTTCTCCCGCCCAGATCACCGTTGATTATTCTAAACAGGGGAAAGTCCATGCGAGCGCGGAAGTCCAAGAACCCTCGACTGCCATATGCGACCGAAGAGTTGGCGAGGTAGGATATCTCAATTATGTAGTCGAAGATCGGATGCTCTGGGAGCGGGATATAATCCATATTAATATATACTGGGTTGGCAGTCTTAGAAGTCTTTAAAAGTAATGATCATAACTGAAAGAAGGAAGGAATAATTCGTGATACCAAAGTTTACTCTCCACCGGCTCGGTGGAGCAACTAATACATTGATGCCCCGAATTTGCATTTCGAGACGGTCTAGCGTAGTCTTTATTTACCTCCCTATCCAGAATAATAAAACTATGCCCCACAGTCTCGCTTCACTCCCAGCCTCGCTCTTTACTGTCAGCCTTGCTTTTCACAGCCTCGCGGCCTCGTTTCACTTTGGTTTGTCGATGCGGACCGCGTCCAGCTCTGGAAAACATTGACTTAGGGCCACAAACGGTGGGACTGGCAGGGGCTTAAGATGTGGACGGATTCAACTACGCAATATAACAAAGACGGTTTTGGGCCGACATAATCCAAAATTCAATCAATTATAAAACAATAGTAAAGAAATCGAACGATTCTATCTAGTTAATAGTACTGTGTGTACTTGTGGAGGAAAATAGTTTTTAGAATAATACTATATTTTGTCAAAGTATTTCCATACAGGCCCAAAAATCAGGATAAAGCACTCCGGCTATTTGGTCAAGGTCCACATGTGGCTTGTTTCAGTTTACCGGTAGTAACGGTATTAGGAAAAGTCCTCGATCTGTAGCCCAAATGGCTGAGGTGATAGGCAATAAAGGTCATCCCTTACCTTAGGCATCTCGGCTATAATCCAAGAGAAGTTTAGCGCACTAGGATAAATATATAAAAGTACTTTCGCTCTGAGATTATATTACCTTCTCTTATATATACTATATGGTCGAAGACGTCATATGATTTACTAATTAGCTATACTAGGAATTGCCTATAGCCTTAAACATTAAGTCGTTAACCAAATAGCCTGAGTGCCTGAGGTAAGTAATGCCACGGAGGTCAAAACAATTGCGAAGCTGAAGTACTAGTCACGTGTTCTTTAACAAGAGGAATCCAAAATCTGCTCCGGCTAAGGGAACAGAAACGGATTCCCAGGCAAAATTCGGTAAGGAAACTGTAGCCGGAGCATATAGGAGGCCAAAATGATTTCCATATAGTGCGCAGGCTGGCTTAGGGCGTGCTTAGGGTGCTTAGGCTCCGCTCAGGCTCTGATCAGGTACACTCACCCTCGGCTCAGGTATGCTCACCCTTAGCTCAGGTTAAAGCAGCAGCTGCTCACGTCCGGAGACTAAAACGGAACCAGCGATAGGGAAAATTAATCCTGAGTATATGGGTATTCCGCTGCATGCTTTCGTGAATTTGCGGAACTGTTATCAAAGTAATTAGCATCCTTCTGAAATTCTATTCATTTTTACGTCTTGCCTCTGGAGTAATCTCGAGATCGATGTTCTTATCATACCAGAAGGCCTCCTTCCCTTTGTCCCTCACAACAGCAACTTGTTCCAGAATCCGGATCACAACCTCCCATTTTCAAACTTATAGACTCAACGAATCAAAATACCACACTTCAATCTAAGAGCAAGCATACTCTGTATTTATATGGTACGATGTACGTGAACAGGCTAAACATTGCAAACATGTAGTTGAGATTTAAGCATCATTCGAAGATCCCAACTGTTAAATCAGGGACAACACCTTACGTAAACATAAGGCACGGTATACCATGAAGTAAGTGATGGTTGAATTTGCAACTTGTTGGTTACTTCGTACTATGTAGGACCGAAGCAGGATTGGTACAAGATCTCACCTCTGGATGCACTTGCTGTTCGACGCCAGCATCTACTTTTTGAGCTTCCCGGGAGAAAGTCCAGGCCAGGAGGAACTATAATGTCTGTAATTACTATTCTAATGCGAATTTCATCTATCATCTATTCTCCCCCGACGAAGGGTAGCTCGCTGGGCTAGTTGTGAAGCACTCGAAAACCTTCACCCACCCCAAGCATCATCACAGCTCCTCCTCCTCGACCTTCTCACCCAGCCCAAACATCCTCACACTATTCTTCCACGCCGCTTCCGCAACAACCTCAACACCGACCCCCTTAATCCCCGCCACAGCCCACGCAACCTTGCCAATCATACACGGCTCATTCCGTCCTTTGACAGCAGCACCTTCAACCCACTTCTCCTTCTTAACCCACTTGACCTCCTTCTCCTCTTTATACCCGTGCAAGTGGGCTGTCCCTGCATGACTAGCCCTCATCTCGCACCAAGGCCCATCAGTCTCAAGCTGTAGTCTCTCGAGCGGAATCTCCTTGACCACCAAGCAATTCTCCACCGTCTTCAAACTACACCCATTAACGCCGATATCCCAGCCCATCTCTACAAGTTCCAGCATCTCCTCCCTTGTTCCAGTAAAACTATGCACGACCCCTTTTTTCCGCAACCCATGTTCCCGCTCCTTCAACAGGTGTATAAAATCCTCGTGTGCAGCCCTCGAATGCAGGAACAGAGGCAAGCCGATCTCGACAGCGACATCTAGTTGTTTGGCAAAGTATTCGAGCTGGATATCTTTTGGGCAGAGCTCGAGACGGTCGTAATCGAGGCCAATCTCGCCGAAGGCGACGCAGTGTCCCGACTCTTTGGCTGAGAGGGCGAGGGCTTTGAGTTGTGTGAGGAAGATGGAGCCGCTGGAGGGGGTTTTTGTGAATTGTTGGCAGGAGCAGGGGTGGACGCCGACTGTGGTGTAGATTATGCCTGCTGCATACCAGAAACCGTTAGCACTTGATGTTGACGTGGTCCTGGGTTGTGGATGAGGGATGGGTGCCGAGCGGAGGACTAACGGTGTGCCTTTGCCAATTCGATAGCTTTCCTTGACTCTGTCAAATCCGAGCCTGTGACGATCAACCTCTGGCACCCTGCTCCCTTTGCACGTTGTAGAACACCCGAGAGGTCGTTTGGATGACGTTGTGTACCGTAATATTTTCCGCTGTAGACGGGATCGGTGAGGTTGATACCTATCTACTGTGCGGGTTGTCATGAGCATTTTTCTTCTACCTATGGGCTAAATAATACGACAGAGTCGAAGGAAGTAATTGACTTGGAAAGCAGACGCGTACATCTATGTAACGTGGTTTGTAGACTCCATTTGGGGTCGCTGCAGAAGGCTGCGGCACTTCTGGTGCGTTGCTGGTCGACATCTGGACTGCGAGCGCGCGAAGAGTTGGTGGTTGGCGGAGTAGGGAATTCAATATCGAGGAAGAAGCGCGCAGAAGGTTGGATTGGTTGTGGAAACGACTCATGAAGGAATTGGAAGATGTTGATGGAACACAAGGAAAGCGAGGATGGTGAAGTGAGTCAAGCAGGCACGCGAGGCTGAAACCTCCCTGGGCAGCCTAGTTGACCTCTGAATCCGGATTTCGCCTGTTCTTCTTCTCCCCAACGGTTCATCAAGGACACCACCACTTTGTGTTCATTGTTAAAGACCGCAGCAACGATGCTCGCAGTACCCAAGCCCTTGTCCGAGTGGAAGCGGAGGTCGAAATTGCCAGCCTAGAAACCGTCAAACTACAAGAAGCTGACTGGTCCTCGACAGACTTGAGTCGTCGTCCTCGCTACAGGAAGTGGTCCTGATCACGTTAAATGTTCTCTCCAAATGCCAATTTTGAAGCGTTGACATGCATGTGAGGGGATACGCCGCCAAGAGAGCAGAAATGTGCGCCCTCTACGGAAAGCCGTAAGGATCAAGTGATCAAGCGATTTTCGAATCCGGTTTTCGACTTTCGATGTCAGATTTGTGGCACGTGCGCACCCCACCAAAAATCGCAAATACCATACACATATCACGCCCACATACTATACCCTCTCCCTGTGCCTCTATTACTACTTCAAATATCTACTTTCTTTAATTCTTCTCTCTCTCTCCCTATATATATGGATAAGAGAGGGGGCTTATAGGGGGAAAGGG